ATGCGCCCAGCATGAGTTTAAGCCACCAGGTCCAGGACTCCAACTGCGGTTGACTACATGGGAGTCCAGTGACATAGCCATTACGCTAACTGCTGGTCCCAAATAAAATAATTTTAAAATAACAAAGACACTTTTTAAAAATTTTTATTTAACTGTGCCCATTTATTTAATTTAATTTGATCAGAGAGGGATCGAGTGAGAGGCGCTGGTCCCAAATAAAATAATTTTAAAATAACAAAGACACTTTTTAAAAATTTTTATTTAACTGTGCCCATTTATTTAATTTAATTTGATCAGAGAGGGATCGAGTGAGAGGCAGCGAGTGAGCAAGAGAGAAAGTGAGAAAGCAAGCCGCCAGGTCCAGAACCTGAACCACGGTTGGCCATGTGGGAGACCAGTGCCCTCAACCAACACACTACCTGCTGCTGGCCCCCAAAAAACAGAACTAAAAAGATTATTTTATTTAACTTTATTTACTTATTTATTTGCTTTCTCACTTTCTCTCTGTCTCTGTCTCTGTCTGAGAGGCTTGAACTGCAGTTGGCCATGGCCTCCAACCACCATGCCACCTGCCGGTCCCCTGTCAGTTGTTTCTTTGTAAATAATCTTGCATTCTCTGAGCATTGGGCAGGAGGGTTAGAAGTAGTATTGTCAAAGCCTGCCCTTTGCCTGTGGGCTTTCCTAGAATGGGGAGTCTGTGTTGGCAAGAGATTAGGTGCTGGAAAGATCTTAACCAGTAGCCTTAAGTAATTGATTACTTTCCTCATTTGTGTTCCTTGGAATCATTCAGAAATATCCATTATGTATTTATTTTAATTTGACTAGGAGGGATAAGCAAACCACTAGGTCCGGGACTTGAACTGCAGTCAGCCATTTGGGAGTTCAGCACCCTTAACCACCTTAACCACCACACCACCTGCCGGCCCCAAAATAAAATAAATCTTTAAAAAAAAATGAAAGAAACATTAACAGATAAAGATGAATTGGTTACTCTGTACCTTCCTAGCTCTGGAAGAAAAGGGGCTCTTCAGGAAAAGCTAGTAACGCTATAGATGCAAGGAGCAGAGTTAAACCTGATTTCTCCAGACTGATCACTCTCTCTAAGTAAGTAGGGCCTTTTATGTCAAACTATCCTACAAGGCTAGGGCGGAGAGGGAGAGGTTGAGTCACTATAACTCCTTTAACACAAAGTTCGGAGAAGTAAATGTCACATAAGATTTTTGTTTTTTTCTTTGCAGAATGCATCCTGTCTTGTTCTTGCTGCCCGACATGCCAGTGCTTCTTCCACGGTAAGGTTTGAAAAAAAAAGACTGACAATCACTGTGGAAGCCTGACCCTGAGACAGGGTTTGCAGACCACCTGGCCTCTTATTATCCTATGTATTTCTCCTGGAAGTGTCCATTTTATTACTGTTATTTTTATAACTGTTATTACTACTACTATTTTAAGAAATAATTTGCTCAATGAAATAGTGAAATAGGAGTATAAAACACTTTTGCTTGGGGCCGGCAGGTGGCGTGGTGGTTAAGGGTGTTGGACTCCCACATGGCTGACCGTGGTTCAAGTCCCAGACCCGGAGGCTTGCTTTCTCTCTCTCCGTCTCTGGTCAAATAAAAAAAAGAAAATTAATTAATTAAAAAAAAAACAAAAACACTTTTGCTTAATTTTTAAAAATTTTAAATTTTGCCAGAGAGTATATGTGCTCACCAGAGACGAAAATTAAGAGAAAGCATCCCCAAACGGTGTATGGTCATATCACAATCTTTTCTCCATCACCATCCTGTCAGAATTTTGACCATGCATGCTCAGATGCCTGATAGAACTTCTCAGATGCCTGACATGATTTTTTTTTTAAGTATTTATTTATTTAAATATTTTTGTTGTTGTTGTTGTTGTTGTTGTTGTTTAATTTGACCAGACAGAGAGAGAGAGAAAGGAAAGCAAGAAAGCAAGCCGCCAGGTCTGGGACTTGAACCTCAGTCAGCCATGTGGGAATCCAGTGCCTTTAACCACCACACTACCTGCTGGCCTGCCTGATGTGATTTTCAATTGCTGGGGCTGGGGTTCAAACCATAGTTGGCCATGTTGGGTCCTGTTCTTTTAAGGCCATGGACTGACCCTTTTTCTATTATTTTAATTTTTAAAATTGTGGTAAAATATATGTAACATTAAAATGGACATTTTAATACATATATATTTTTTTTTTTGAGAGAGAGAGGTTTTTGCTATAGAGTATGTGTGCTCTCCAGAAAGAGAGAGACAGAGACAGAAAGTTAAAAATCACTCCCCAGGGGAACCAGCAGTTAGCGTGATGGCTGTGTTGCTGGACTCCCACGTGGTCAACCGCGGTTCGCATCCCGGACCCGGTGGCTTGAAACTCATGCCGGGCATGTGTGCGTGTGTGCCCAGGATCCCGAGGGGAGAATGGAGGAGAAGGGATTGCAGCGTGACCATCCCCCCTGGGGGGTGATGTCTCGTTTTCTGTCTCTATGTCTCTCTCTGTCTGTCGGGCGAGCACAAGTACCCTATAACAAAAACCTCTCAAAAAAAAAAAAAAATCACTCCCCAGGAGGGATGACAACGCTGTAATCCTTTCTCCTCCATTCTCTTGGGATCTTGGGCATGCACATACACAACGCCCGACATGACTTTAAGCCACTGGGTCTGGGACTCGAACCGCGGTCGAATACATTAGAGTCCAGTGACATAGCCATTATGCCATCTGCTGGTCTCTTACATGTATTTTTTAAAGAATTATTATTTTTTCTAAGACTTATTTTAATTAGCTTTATTATTGTTATTATTTGAACAAAGAGAGACAGAGAGAGAGAGGAAGAAAGGGAAAGTGAGAAAGCAAGCTGCCACAGGACCAGCAGTTAGTGTAATGGCTATGTCACTGGACTCCCATGCAGTTGACTGTGGTTCGAGTCCCAGACCGGTGGCGCATGTGTGTGCATGCCCGAGAGGAGATTAGAGGAGAAGGGATTGTGATGTGACCATCCCCCCTGGGGGGTGATTTCTTGCTTTCTGTCTCTCTCTCTCTTCAGCAAGCGCACATGCCCTATAGCAAAAACCTCTAAAAAAAAAAAAAAGAAAGAAAGAAAAAGAAAGCAAGCTGCTAGGTCTGGGACTCGAACAATAATGAGCCATGTGGGAGTCCAGGGCCCACAACTACCACACCACCTGCTGACCCCTGTATATTTTGTTTTTAAAGAGAGATTTTTGCTATAGGGCATGTGCGCTTGCTGAAGAGAGAGAGAGACAGAAAGCAAGAAATCATTCCCTGTAGAGGATGACCATGCCACAATGCCTTCTCTTCCATTCTCCTCTCTGGATTTTGGGCATGCACACACATGTGCCCAACGTGAGTTTTAAGCCACCGGGTCCATGACTTAGATCATGGTCAGCCAGGTGGGAGTCCAATGACGTAACCATTACGCCATCTGTTGGCCCCTTAATATAATTTTTTTTTCTTAATATAATTTTTAAGTGTATGGATCAGCAGCAATAAATACATTCACTTCGTTGTGCAACCATGACCACCACTCATTTCTAGAAAAATTTTTTTAATTGCTAGAGGGTATATGCAGTCACCAGAGAGAGGAGAGAGAAAGCACCCTCCATTGGGGGTATTGTCATACTGCAGTGTCTTCTGCATTCCTCCATCCTTTCAGGATTTGGGGCACACATGCACATGCACTCAGTATGTTTCTCTAGCCCCATGATAAGACTTTTAACCACAATCAGCCATGTGGATCTGGCTCCCTTAGCCACTATGTTACAGGGCCAGCCCTTCAAAAACATTTTCCAAACTCCATACACATTAAACAACAATTCCTCATTCCCTCCTCTCCCTGCCTAATTCTTTTACTTTCATCTATGCAAATTGGGTTGATCAGACTTCTTGGCAGATAAAGCCAAGTTCTGAAAATACCCTACTTTGCAGGAAATGTAGTAAACTCTTTTATCCTTACTTAGTCCTTCTACTTCTCTTTTTAGAATTTGAAAGATGTATTGGCTGACCTGATACCTAAGGAACAGGCCAGAATTAAGACCTTCAGGCAACAACATGGCAAGACAGTGGTGGGCCAAATAACTGTGGATATGGTAAGGGTTGTGGGATCTTGGCTGGGAAAAGAAGCTCAGTAGTGAATATATAAAAGTACAGTTTTTTTTCATTGACTATTCAAAAGCATTCTGTCCTATACAAGGAACTGGGGGAGGGGGGCTTATAGTATTCATTAGCGATTAGATTGTCCTTTTCTGTAAATTTAACACTTGAGTCTAACCTAATTAACCTATGGGAAGGATGAAATTTCTTTTTAAGAATTATTTATTTAATTTAATTTATTTATTATTATTATTCCATTTGACCAGAGAGAGAGAAAGCAAGCAAGCCACCGGGTCCGGACTCAAACCATAGTCAGCTATGTGAGAGTCCAGCACCTTAATCACTATGCCACCTGCTGGACCCAAGGATGAAATTTCATGTTTTCAATCCCTCAGCTTTTAGAGCCAGGCCTCTTGAGTTGCTGCTAGACCAGCTAGCCACTTTATATACAGTCACTTTAACTAGAGCCTTAACTAGGCTCTCTGGAACAGCTTTAGGATAACTTTCCAGCTAATTTGAGCATCTGAGATGACAGATTCACAACAGTTTTTAGCTATTAGTTCCATACCTTTTTCCTGTAATAGATTTTATTTGTATACTTTGGTTGGTGGGAGTTAGGCATAGGAGAGGCTCAGAGTGGACAGGAGAAAAAAGAATAGTATAAGAAAGGGACCAGCAGTTGGCGTAATGGCTATGTTGCTGGATTCCGATGTAGTCTACTGCGGTCCGAGTCCCAGGCCCAGTGGCTTAAACTCACGCCGGGCGTGTGCGCGTGCGTGCCCAAGATCCTGAGAGGAGAGGGGATTGCGGCGTGGCCATCTCCCCTGGGGGGTGGTTTCTCGCTTTCTGTCTGTCTGGCAAGTGCACGCACCCTATAGCAAAAACCTCCCCAAAAAAAAAAAATAGTATAAGAAAAAGAAACTATATAATAGCAGGAATATTAAGTATTTTTTTCTGTATAACTGGCATGGTGGCACATGCCCATAATCCCAATAATTAAGGAGACTGAGGCAGGAAGATCTCGAGTTTGAGCCCAGACTGGACAACATAGCAAGACCTTTAAATGTGTCTCTGCAAAAAATTTTCTCTCTAAGATTTAGTGATCCTCTAACAAGCTCTGGCCTGAATCATTCTGACTATTGATCTCATCATCTTCTTTCCTTTAGATGTATGGTGGCATGAGGGGCATGAAGGGATTGGTATATGAAACATCAGTTCTTGATCCTGATGAGGTAAGACATATTCAAGTCAATCACTAGTAATCATTGAGGTTATTGACTGCAAACTGTGGATTAGGGCAGTGAGTGCAAGGACAACAGACATAGTACCTACCATCATATTTTGAAAGGTGGAGAACTGGTGTGTATGAAATATTAATAACTGAAGAACAAGTTTGCCCCTTTTTTCTTTTCTTTTTTTTTTTTTAAGAGAGATTTTTGCTATAGGACATGTGCCCTTGTTGGAAAGACAGAGAGATATAAAGTGAGAAATCACTCCCTGGGGGGATGGCCACACCACAATCTCTTCTCCTCCTCTATCATTTCAGATCTTAGGCATGCACACATGCACCCACGTGAGTTTAAGCTGCTAGGCCCAAGACTGTAACTGTGGTCAACTGTGTGGGAGTCCAGTGATGTAATCATTGTGCCATCTGCTGATCCCGTTTTTTTTTTTTTTTAAGATTTTTGCTACAGAGTGTGTGTGCTTGCCAGAGAGAGAGACCAGAGTGACAGAAAGAAAAAGTGAGAAATTACCTCCTGGGGGGATGGTTACACCACAGTCCCTTCATTCTACTTTTGGGATTTTGGGCATGCACGCACATGTGCTCGGCATGATTCTCAAGCCACCCAGTCTGGGACTCAGACTGCAGTTGGCCTTGTGGGAGTCCAACCGCCTTAATCTCCATGACAACTGCTGGCCTGCCTTTTAATACATCAATTAGATAAAACGAACATACGAAAATAGGAGTAAAGTATGTGAATATTTAAGCTTTAAAAGTTCTATTCTGGGACCAGCAATTGGCATAATGACTATGTCACTGAACTCCCATGTAGTCGACTATGGTTCAAGTTCTGGATCCAGTGGCTTAAACGCTGGGCACATGTACGTGCATGCCCAAGATCCCGAGAGGAGAATGGAGGAGAAGGGATTGCGGCGTGACCATCCCCCCTGGGGGGTGATTTCTCACTTTCTGTCTCTATGTCTCTCTGTCTGTCTGGCGAGCGCACGCGCCCTATAGCGAAAAACCTCTCCTTTAAAAAAAAAAAAAAGATCCCAAGAGGAGAATGGAGGAGAAGGGATTGCGGCGTGGCCATTCCCCCCTAGGGTGATTTCTCATTTTCTGTCTCTCTGTCTCTCTTTCGCGCCCTACGGCAAAAACCTCTCCAAAAAAATAAAAATAAAAAAGTCCTGTTCTAACTTGTCTCTTCTCCCTTAAGGGCATCCGTTTCCGAGGACATAGTATCCCTGAGTGCCAGAAGCTGTTGCCCAAGGCTAAGGGTGGGGAAGAACCCCTGCCTGAGGGCTTATTTTGGCTACTTGTAACTGGACATATCCCAACTGATGAACAGGTAAAGCAGAAGGACATTAGTCCTTCATATTCCCCTTCTCTGCCTTACTCAAATCTCAAGTACTTAATCCAGGTAATAGTTTATAGAGATGTTCATTAAGGGAAAGAAATCAGCAGCGTTTTGCTGTATAAGTAGATTGCATTGACTGTCTTAGGTTGTCTTTACTTGGATGTCACTGATATTTTATTTTCCTCCTTCCCTTTTTTTTTTTTTTTTTGCGAGTGTTCTGAGCAATGTCTCCCTTTCCACAGGTATCTTGGCTCTCAAAAGAGTGGGCAAAGAGAGCAGCTCTTCCTTCTCATGTGGTCACTATGCTGGACAACTTTCCTACCAATCTACACCCCATGTCTCAGCTCAGTGCTGCCATTACAGCCCTCAACAGTGAAAGTAACTTTGCCCGAGCATATGCAGAGGGTATCAACCGAACCAAGTATTGGGAGGTAGGATTTTTGAGTGGGTTGATTGGTACCTAATGGGGATTCAAAGAACCTGAGTATGAAGAGAGAAAAAAGAATGTAGGATCTTTAGGAAAATTGCGTCTCTGAGTTACTCCAGAAAATTAATTAACAACTTTTTATTGTAGACTTGTTTTGTGTTAGTTGTTATGATTGTAAAGATACAGAGCAACATTTCTATTACCAAGGTTATTGATTTGGTTAGGGTGGTATACATGTAAAAAAGAAACTACAGTTCTGTAATCTTACTCTAATAGAGGTGTATGCTCAATGCTGTTAAAACCTTGAAAAGGGTGTGACTTGGGGGCCTGTCCATGGCCTTGTGGTTAAGGGAGACAGATCCAACATAACTAACTACATGGTTCAAATTCTAGCCCCAGTGGCTTAAAACACCAGATGTATGTGCATGTGTGCCCCAAGTCCCAACAGGATGGAAAACTGGTAGAGAAGAGACTGCAGCATGACCGTGCCCCACTGGGGAGATGCTTTCTCCCTCTCCATCTCCCTAGCAAGCAAATGCATCCTCTGGCCGAAAAAAGGATGTGATATGGGATCAGCAGTTGGTGTAATGACTATGTCGCTGGACTCCCACATAGTCGATCGTGGTTCGAATCCTGGACCTGGTGGCTTAAACTCAACGCCGGGCGCATGTGCATGCATGCCCAAGATCCCAAGAGGAGAATGGAGAAGAGATTGTGGCGTAGCCATCCCCCTTAGGGGGTGATTTCTTGCTTTCTCTTTCTCTGTCTCTCTCTGTCTGTCTGGCGAGTGCACACACCCTATAGCAAAAACCTCTCCCCAAAAAAAGAAAAAAAAAAGGGAAAAGGATGTGACTTAACGGTGGATTTCCTAAGAAAGATTTTTTTTGTTTGTTTGTTTTGTTTTGTTTTGTTTTGTTTTAAAAGGTTTTTGCTGTAGGACTTGTGTGCTCATCAGAAAGACAGAGAGACAGAAAGTGAGAAGTCAACTCCCAGGGCGGATGGCCACGCCACAGTCCCTTCTCCTCCATTCTCCTCTCAGGATCTTGGGCATGCATGCACACACACCTGGCATGAGTTTAAGCTGCCAGGTCTGGGACTCAAACTGCAGTCGACTACATGGGAGTCCAGCGACATAGCCATTATGCCAACTGCTGGTCCCCCGAGGACGATTTCACAGAGTAGTCTCACCCTAGTCTCGGTATCGCTTTCTCCCCCTTCTTCAAATAAGGAAAACCTTGAGAAATCTTACAAGTTGTGTGAATTGCAACTCTGGAGGGTATGGCTAACACTTCTTAGCCATATTGTGGGTTAGCCTGCCCAAGATAACCTGTCAAGAGTGGTAATATGGTTAATATCTGGGACCAGCAGATGGTGTAAAAATGGTTATGTCACTGGACTTCCACATGGCCTACCGCAGTTGAGTACCAAACCCAGAGGCTTGAAACTCATGCCAGGCATGTGCGCCCAAAATCCCAAGAGGAGAAAGGGATGCTGCATGGCCATGTCCCCTGGCAGGTGATTTCTCACTTTCTGTCTGTTTCTCTGGTGAGCACATGCGCCATATAACAAAGAAAAGAAAAGGAAAGGAAAGGAGGAAAGGGAAAGGAAAAAGATGGTTAATATTCTGGGAGTAGGATCTAGAAACAAATGAGCTTTATTTTCTGAAAATGACATAGGACCTTAATGTTGGAGATTGGCAGTATAGGAACAGAAAAATTCTTTCTTCAAAGCAGGTCCACTAAATGGTTTTTACTATGAGATGCCAATCACCAAGAAGGCTCCCTAAGAGTTCACAATGATTCAAGACAGAATAGCGATACAGTGGTCTCATGAAACCCCTTTGGAGCCTTGGCAAATTCTGCTTCATTTGGTTGGCCAATATTTATTCAATACCAACTATATATAGAGAATTGTGTTTGCTGTTGGGAGAGAGGGGGATAGAATTTTAAAAACTGATATTAAGAGCCAACAGATGGTGTAGCAGTTACATCACTAGACTCTTACATAGGCAACAGTAGTTCGAATCCCAGACCTAGTGGCTTGAAAATCACACCAGAGATGTCTGTATGTGTGCCCAAGATCCAGAGAGGAGAATAGAGGAGAAAGGACTGTGGTGTGGCCTTGCCCCTAGGGGGTGATTTCTCACTTTCCCTCTCACTGTCTCTGTCTGGCAAGCCCATGTGCCCTAAGGCAAAAACCTCTAAGAAAAGGAAAAAAAGAGCCTGCAGGTGGTATGAGCTTAAGGAAGCTGGATCCCAATAATCAACTGCCTAGTTCCAGACCCAAGGGCATAAAACACCAGGCACGTGTGCACATGTCCCCAAAATCCCTAGAGGAGAATGAAGAAGGGATTGAGGCATCACCATCCACATCCCCCCAGGGAGTTCACACTTTCCATATCTCTCTCTCTCCCTCTCTCCCTCTCTCCCTCTCTCCCTACCCCTACCCCTCTCTAGTGTGCATGTCGTATAGCAAAAACAGAGAGAGAGAGAGAGAGAAAAAAAATTGATAATAATCTGATTGACATTGGGGAAGTAGACCAAAAAAAAAGCAATGCAAAACATACATATTCACAGCTGTTTAGAGCATTTTAAATGCCACAGTTGAGTACAGGAGGTCATAGGAAATGTATATATTGCTCTTTTTTTTTTTTTTTTTTTTTAAGAACTATTTTATTTAACTTTATTTTAATTTGACCAGAGAGGGGCAGAGTGGGGGTTGGGAGTGAAAAAGAAAGCTGCCAGGTCTGGGATTCGAATCACAGTCAGCTATGTGGGAGTCCAGCACCCTTAACCACCACACAACATGACAGCCCCATATTGCTTTTTTTTAAATGCTGTTCAAGCACTTTTTATCTGTGTGAGTCTTTTTTTTTTTCTTCTGTAAATGTTTTTGTCTTAGGGAACTTGCACTTGTTGGGGGCAGGACAAGACAGAAACAGTGAGAGGGAAAGTGAGAAATCACTCCCCACTTCCCCAGGGGAATAGCCACACCATACATAATCCCATTTCCTCTGGGATTTTGGGCATGCACGCACACGTGCTCTATGTGAGTTTCAAGCCACCATGTCCAGGACTCAAACTGTGGTCAGCCATGTGAGAGTTCAGTGACATAACCACTACACCATCTACTGGCCCCTATGTGAGTCGTCTTAACAAGTTAATTCAAAACTCAACAGTTGATGCTGGCTCTTTTTAAAAATAATTCTTTTATTTAACTTCATTATTATTATTATTTTCCAGTTTGATCAGACAGACAGAGAGAGAGAAATTGAGAAAGCAAGTCACCAGGTTCAGGACTTGAACCGCGGTTGGCCGTGTGGGAGTTCAGTGCCTTTAACTACACCACCTGCCAGCCCTGATGCTGGCTCTCAGTAGCAGTGAAGTTCTGCACAGGGGAAGTTAGATCCCATATATGGCCGACCAGAGTTTGAGTACCAGCCCTTTCAGGCTGAGAAACTTGTTGGCATGTGCCATGCATCCTAGAATCTTGACAGGATAGAGAATGGGTAGAACAAAGTTGTAGCAACCAGATCTCTCTTTGGGCCAGGGGGAACATTCTCTCCTTCCTTTCCCTCTTTCCCCTCTCTTTCTCATGCATGCATGCACCCTTTGTCATTAAAGAAAATAAATGGGGCCTGAAGAATGAAAAGAATCTATTGTTTTTTTAAAAAGACCTAACATTTATACTCGAAATACTTATCTTTTTAGAAATTGACCATTTAGGGGCCACCAGGTGGTGTGGTAGTCAAGGCGCTGGACAGTCACATGGCTGATTGCAGTTTGAGTCCTGGACCTGGTGGCTTGCTTTCTTACTTCCCTTCTCTGTCTCTCTCTGGTTAAATTTAAAAATACTAACAAAATTAATAAATAATTCTAAAAAAAAGAAATTGACCATTTAGAGGCCAGTCAATGGTGCAGTGGTAACATGGGACACTGTAACCATGACCCACATGTGAAGGTTCCTACTTTGTGTCCAGGGACCTCCCTAAGATTACCATGTGCATATATTCCCATAATCTGGGCTGGCTAAGGCTGGGGGGTATATCATAGTGTCAAGATTCTGTTGGGGTACTTGTTCTCTTTTCACTCACTTGTGGGAGAAATAAATAAAGGTTTTTAAAATATCCATAATGTGTCAGGAAATCGTGAGGTGATGTGGTGAGGTGATGTGGAGGTTAAGGTGGCTGGATCCTACATGGCTAACTGCATGGTTCACATCCCAGACCTGGTGGCTTGAGAAACATGCTGGGCATGTGTATGTACATGTCCAAATTCCTGAGAGGAGAATATAAGCGAGGGGATTGCAGTGTGGTAATCCCCTCTAAGGGGTGATTACCCACTTTCTCTCTTTTTTTCTCTCTCTGTTTCTGGCAAGCACACACTATAGCCAACTGAAAACAAAACAGGCACATGTGCGTGCACACACACACACGAGAAATTGGCCACTCAGAAGTATCTAATAACTATTTGCTTTGATTGCCATTGAGAATTTTGGGGATGGGTAGTGTTAACAGCTTTTCATACATTAGCTTTTAATGTATTTCTCAACTATCTAGACATGCTGCATGCTTAACACTTTACTATATCCCTAAAAAGAGTCTACTGCTTCACCATTACCTCTGTGTTAGTGTATAGCCATTGTTTGATTGTACACTGTCATCATCACTTTGTGAGATGTTATCCAAGCATGACTGTCTTGAGGTAAACATATACTTCTAGATAGTGTTTGTAAGCAGTATTGATATATTTGTCAGTCTAAGGATGTGTGCTACTAGCTGGCCAAGACTAGCTATTTAATTATTATTTAGTTTTATCTATATTTTAATTTGACTAGAGAGAGAGAGAAGAAAAGTGAGAAAGCAAGCCACCAGGTCCAGGACTCAAACCATGGTCAGTCATGTGGGAGTCCAGCATCTTAATTACAATGCTACCTAACAGTTGACTAGCTATTTAATGATATTGAGGATTCATTAAAAAGTTTAGGTGGGGGGAACCAGCAATT